ATCTAACTGGTTCAGTGCAGTCCGAAGTACTTTGTAGTAAGTTGTTTGTGCATACCTTCGTCAACTCACAAGTTCCTTCCTCCATGATATATGGGTAGTCTTCCTCCTTGCGAAGCCCACCATTGGAGACTATGAAGGAAAATGCATAATCCATCAGACCTCCATTGCATCCGCTGTTGTATGTGGTATCACAGTCGATAAGCTCTTGCTCCGACAGCTCCGTCAAGTTTCCGGTGACAATCTGGTTTATTCCCTCCACAGCAGCCACCGTTGAAAACGCCCAACAACTTCCGCAAGACCCCTGGTTCTTCACACGAGTAACCGCTCCTTTCTTTCTCCAATCAACCGACTTGGGCAAATCAACTACATCTCCGTAAGTGAATTCCCGGCTATCAGAGGATCCCCGCCGTCCGGCCAACTCAGGCTTCAAACCCAGATACGTTGTCGTGAATTCTTCGTGGGTCAAGTCGGCAAAATGGTTGAGTCCGAGCCAGTAATTGGTGACCCTTTTGTTGGTCTCATCGATGTGGTTGAGATTATCCTTGAAGATATCAAATCTCTGCAGTTTCTCTTCGATGGTGTGATAAATTTTTCCATGTTTGGCCATCCAGGACTCAAAGAGCTCAATGAGTTTGTCCATGGAGGTTAAGTCTTGAGGAGAATAGCCCACGATTGAATAATCTCGGGCAAAAGATGAAAGTTGGAAAAGAGAAACGGACAAGACAATGAGAAGGATTTTAGAGGATATCGTGGGGATAGCCATTGTAGGAGTTCAATCAATAGTTGAGTTTGATGAAGATGGAGATGAAGATGAAGATGAAGGGGGTGGTTTATATAGTTTGTGATTTAGGAATTTGCTTTAATTTAAAGTAAGGTTGATAGGTTTTTCTTTATTTATTTATTTATTTTTTTGCTTCAATGATCACTATGGCTTTAAGATTGGTTTTGTTTGGATTACTTTGAATCCAAGTATATGATTTTGAATATGAAATAATTCCAAGTATTTTCTGAGTTCCAAAGGATGTGAGTACTTCGGTGTTCTAATTTCTGAAGAGGGTGAAGTTGATTTCTGTGTTCTCTTTCTATTATATTGGAACTGTAGCTTGGTGAGGCAGCTCTGAAACTGGTAAGATCATATTCAATCTTTTTATTTTTTTACCCAATAAATTTAATTGTTTATATTATTCATGTATATTGTATTCTATCTTTTGCAGCAACTAATGGAGTTCAACTCTTTGGGTAATTTCTTATCATCAATAAGTTACTTTTTCAATTTTTATGCCCAGCCATACTACAATTCATATTGTTATTATTTACATATATATTTTTTTGTTAGTGCGTAGTTTAAAATTTTGAAGGTCTGAATGTTTTGGTTTTGTTCATGTACCATGTTTAACTTTTGTAAATCAAATTGTTCAATAAATTATGTCATTTAAGAAGTTTCAATCGAGTTTCTATTTTTGAAGGTCTTTCTTTTGGATTGAGAGTATATATAATTTTCTCATTTTTGAGTTGTGCTTTTTCAAGTTCTGTTCACTTTTTATATGCTTCAAAGCTTCTTTATTGT